CGCAATCGCTCTCACTAATGCATTCATATTAATGTAATCTTTACTGTGCTGCTTTATCTGTATCTGATTTAAAATGAGCAGAAATCTGTGAGAAATATAACGACTTATAGCGAATATAAAGACAAAAGAACTGATAAAAAAGCTGTTATAGGAGCAACAGCCATGTGGGCAGCGCTGTGTCATATGCCATAGCTGTGCACAAGGTGTTTGTCACAGCTCCAGACTTATTTGTTCATTAATGACGTCATCAGCGACTAGTCGACTTCGACTCGACTTTCATCACATAAAAGTCGACTTCAAAAAAATCAGAAGTCGTTCAACCCCTAGTGTGTGTGTGTCTTACCCTCTCTGCAGGCTTCAGCACACTCCTTTGCATTGGTCACCAGCTGCTCTGCGTTCTGTACGATGGAGGGTAAACGTGCATACCAGCTCCTCACCACATCCTGCACACACACAGTGATCCAGTGAAAACACAACCCAGCGTTCATGAAGTCTGACCGTCACCATCAGCCGCTCGTACCTGCAGCAGGTTCTGTGCTAAATGCGTCTTTCCAGTGTAAACCAGAAGAAGATGCTGCTGCAGGACAGACAGGAAGTCTTGAGTCAGAGAGAGCTGTTCTATTTCCACTCTCAGCGGTAACTGAGCTGCAGATCGGGCCAGTTTCACTCCTCCAAACAGCCCGCCAACCTGGTCCTGCCATCCTCCACCTGAAACACCGCAACAAAGATAGAAAATCCCTTCAAATTCAGTTTGTTAAAAAACATAAGCTTGGTAGAGTTTCCAGCCCAGTAAAACTCTATATTCCTCTAAAAAGGAAGCGATTCAGCCTATTATGAGAATAAAAGCATCTCTCGTACCGGTGGTGAGTATCTGCTCCAGGTAAAGAACATCATGAATGAGAGAGGTTGTGTCGAAGCTCCGTCCCGTGCATCTGTACACTGCAGCAAGAGCTGCACCTGCCAGAATACTGCTGGTGCCTTGAAACACATACACACATATACACTTTAATTACATTTTATTTTACAATTGAATGTAAAAATATATTATTGATTTGTGTGATTAACATATACTTAAACTTTTTATCAACTTATTCATCCAACATAATCTATTAAAATTAAAAAATATTAACATAAAGTGAAATAAAGTCAAATGGATGATTATACATTCGTTATAAATAAGTATTTGTCAAATAAAATATCAATATATAATAAATTAAACTAATGATATATATATTATACTAATGAATATTAGTATATACATAATACCAGGCTTCAGCAAACTCCTCTGCATTGGTCACCAGCTGCTCTGCGTTCTGTACGATGGAGGGTAAACGTGCATACCAGCTCCTCACCACATCCTGCACACACACAGTGATCCAGTGAAAACACAACCCAGCGTTCATGAAGTCTGACCGTCACCATCAGCCGCTCGTACCTGCAGCAGGTTCTGTGCTAAATGCGTCTTTCCAGTGTAAACCAGAAGAAGATGCTGCTGCAGGACAGACAGGAAGTCTTGAGTCAGAGAGAGCTGTTCTATTTCCACTCTCAGCGGTAACTGAGCTGCAGATCGGGCCAGTTTCACTCCTCCAAACAGCCCGCCAACCTGGTCCTGCCATCCTCCACCTGAAACACCGCAACAAAGATAGAAAATCCCTTCAAATTCAGTTTGTTAAAAAACATAAGCTTGGTAGAGTTTCCAGCCCAGTAAAACTCTATATTCCTCTAAAAAGGAAGCGATTCAGCCTATTATGAGAATAAAAGCATCTCTTGTACCGGTGGTGAGTATCTGCTCCAGGTAAAGAACATCATGAATGAGAGAGGTTGTGTCGAAGCTCCGTCCCGTGCATCTGTACACTGCAGCAAGAGCTGCACCTGCCAGAATACTGCTGGTGCCTTGAAACACATACACACATATACACTTTAATTACATTTTATTTTACAATTGAATGTAAAAATATATTATTGATTTGTGTGATTAACATATACTTAAACTTTTTATCAACTTATTCATCCAACATAATCTATTAAAATTAAAAAATATTAACATAAAGTGAAATAAAGTCAAATGGATGATTATACATTCGTTATAAATAAGTATTTGTCAAATAAAATATCAATATATAATAAATTAAACTAATGATATATATATATTATACTAATGAATATTAGTATATACATAATACAAATATTTACATAATCAAAATAATGACATGTATAATCAATTTTATTTTATATATATATATATTAATATTTGTATTTTATTTTATAATAATCATAAAATAATATTTATAAATTACTTATTATTATTATTATATACAAATATTAATATTAATATAAAATAAAGTAAAATAGATTATTAAACATTTGTTATACAAATAATTAACATATATTTCCATAGTAATAATAATAATAATTATTATTATTATCATCATCATCATCAGTATTATTGTAAAAAATATAATATATAATCAAATAAATCATTTACATGTCATGCTAATTATAATTTTTATATATTTACATTAATGATTAATATTATTTGTATGTAAATACATATTAATTATTTGTATAACTTGTATAATAATCCATTTTATATCTTAATGTTTCTTTTATTTTAAATTATTATTAGCATTAGTATTATTATATGTAAATATATAACTAATAACAAATTATCTAGATGCCATAATACATTACTGATACTTCTTCTGTTCTTTCTTGTGCACATTTTTTTTTACTATTTGCACAGGAGATATTTTATGTGTTAATCCAAACAACTATTACTTCACATTTACACAGTGCTGGTTTAATCATGTATCAGATTCAGTCATATTCAATCAAAAGTAGTTTACTTACCAAGACCAGAACCATGTGGCAAAGAAGACCAGCTGTGGATCTCCAGTCCGCCGCCCCAGTGCTTTAACAACTGCTCTTTTAGAGAGACAGGAGACGATACACACACCAGCTCACTGCACACACACATGGCTTTTAGCAAGGCATCTACAACACAAACACACACAACTTCACGCTTAAGATATTTACACATAATTGTACATTTATGTTCTACACAGAAACATTTGCAAAAACAAAAACTGTGTTACATCACATAGAATGTCAGTTGTGTGCCCCTCACAGTATGTTCTCTCACCTGGAGTGTGAGGCTGGCAATAGTCTTCCAGGTCAGTAAGATCCTCACAGAGTGTTTCTGTGGAGATGCTGCAGGCCGCTTCACCGCTGGTACTGACCAACAGCAGATGAGGCTCTGGAACACGTCGAACTCGAGCTCCAATCGGCCGTTTTCCATCCACTTTGATGGCCACATTGATTACCAGTCCACCATGTTCAAACGCAATAGGAGGAGTGTCACTCCAGCCACCTGATGACGTATTCAAACACACACTTTCAGCACACATTGTGGAAGACCCAAGGAAATCTAAACAGTTTTGTGTTAAAGCTTTGGTTTGATAAGGACAAGGAATTAACTGAATTGCATTTCTGAAAATGAAGAATGTGTCAATTCTAGTCCATAAAAGATCATTTATTAAATAGAATTACCGTTCAAAAGTTTGGGGTCAGGAAGATTTTTTAAATGTTTTTGAAAGAAGTCTCTTATGTCACCAAGACTGCATTTATTTGATCAAAATTCAGTAAACAGTAAAACATTAATATTGTAAAATATAATTACAATTTTAAATAACTTTTCTATTTGAATATATTTTAAAATATAATTTATTCCTGTGATGCAAAGCTGAATTTTCAGCATCATTAATCCAGTTTTCAGTGTGAAATCATTCTATGTCGACTGATTGATGATCAAGAAACATTTATTGTTTATTAATGCTGAAAACTGTTGTGCTGCTTATTGTTTTTATGAAAACCGTGATACTTTTTTTCAGAATTCTGTGATTATAATAGAAAGCTTAAAAGAACAGCATTTATTTGAAATAGAAATCTTTTGTTATAAATGTCTTTACTGTCACTTTTGAATTGCAATTCTAAATTTCGTTTAAATTCAAGAACTGAAGTGCAATTTATTTCAGTTAAACTCTGAATGCACAGAAACACAGAACTCTCTGATCAGCTGAAATGAAGAATGCTGTTCTCACCAGACAGATCTAGTCGAGCAGGACACTCCACTTCCTGCCACACGCCCATGGGCGGCATCTCTCCTTGACCAATGAACACAAACTCACGTGCTGACATCACTGCCTTCCGCAGCAGTATCTGTCCCGCCCCCTCATAATGCCTGGCGGCTCTCACCAACAAATCTGGTCTTTAGACAACGATGACAAATCAGAAATTCTCACTTTACAGCGCTCAAATTTATGCAGTTTTTAAGTTCTGACCTGCAGAGCCAGTGCTTTCTTTGATTGGCCAGTTCTTGGACACCTGCAGGTAAGTTTCCATCCTCTAGAAGCTTAAAAGCAGGGGCCCACGATGGATTCGCCGCTGGTCCACTGCGCAAACCACCTTTACCCTCACCAGCCAGACAGCCAAGGACATCAGCGATACAGGCGAGACAACGTGCAGCTACTCCCAGATCCCCACTGCTGCCTGCAGCCACTGAGACAACAGCCAAACCATCAGTATCCTCAAAAGTCAACATATGCAAACCATTCCTCATCTTTTGCTCCTCACCTGAGTCCAGCACCTGCAGTAGCTCCTCCTGCTGGCCGGCCAGCGCTGCTGCTCTGAAGAACGGCAGTAGACTGAGATCTGTGTGGCCTTGTAGAGCGTCCATGGCTCTTCTTCGGCCCACAATGAAGAACAGCTCTTCTCTCCAGCGCAGCTCCGTCTGCTGGTCCGTCAGGATGAGAATATCCCTGAGCGAGAGTCTCCAGGCTTCCCTCCAGCTGTCCAGCCCACCAGCGCCACCCAGGAGCCAACAAACACCCTCTAGTCCAACGGGTCCTGAACGTGGCATGAACACTGGGAACAATCGGGCATCCAGCAGACAGCATGACTCAGTCCTCTCAGGTCCCCAAAGGTACTGAGGCCTTTAACACACACATATATATGTTAGACACACTACATGAAACTATGACAGTCTCAATCCAAGCAAAACATGCAAAAAATTAACCGTGAAGTCACTTAGGCAGCATCTTCCTGTAAAAGCAGGTGGCTTTTGGATACAATAATCTTTAAAATAGAGCAAATCTTTAGTCAAAAGTCTGATTATGTGATGTATGAACGTAGAAGTTTCTTACTGTATTCCAGTACGACTATAAAAATCACTCCATTTTTGATTAAGGAATGATGCATTGACATCATCAGTGTAGGCCTGGGTGGAAAATAGCATTTAAAATATAAAAAATTAGCAAACATTTTCTTATTTATATTGTTTCTTTTCATAAGTTGCTTTAGATAAAAGTGTCTGCTGAATGAATAAATAAAAATGCAAATGTAAGGAAGGGGCTCTAAACTCACCTCTAAATTGTCATGGGCTCCAAAAGCTGTGTACACTGTTAACTTTAACTCTCCCAGCATCACTCGATGACCCTGAATGATGATGTCACTAGACAGGGGTAGATGTTGGATGCAGGATGATGAGGTCAAATCAAGCCCTGACAGCAGGCACCCAGAATGCACCTGGACTGGACCCTGTAATTGACAAAAATATATTACTATTGCAATAATACTACTGTACTGTAAAATAAAAACACTAATTAGATATTCATAATAAAAATTATTTTATTTTACAATACAACAGTAAACGTGGTTAATACGTTTCAGGTTGGAAAATATGAAAATCTGTATAAATACAAAAAGATCACATCCTTGATTTTTACTTATAAGATTTACTTAAAGTGAACATGAACTATTCACAACCCATTTCACTTCAGTAATGTGACATTTCATAGTGACAAAAATTGTGGTCAAAAAATAAATAGGGTCCGTTTTGATTTCATATCTTTAGATAATAGTCTGAGATTATTTAACTCTCCAGACCTGTAGGTGGCAGTGCTGCACAACAGCTCCTGTTGATACATGAACTTCTCCTTCCAGCACGCTATTAATCACTCTGCTGCCTTCTGCCACAGACTTCACATCCTTTAAAGAAAAGGAAATTATATTGCATAAGAAAAGTTGAAATACCAGACTTTAATTTTAAAAAATCCCACCTGAATATGAGAGAGAGTCATTGTCTGTGTTCCAGTTTCTGTCAGACGAATGACATGTTCTCGACCTGACTGAGTCAAATAATCATAGCGACCATCCTGAATATACACTGGAAACAGACAAAGGTTATGTTCAGAATAACATACTACTCTATACTTACTACTTCTGCAATGTACAGTATGCATACTGCAGGAAGCATACAGATTTTCAGTATGCATGGAAAACCCAGGTAGCCTACATTTAACCAAATACTGCATATAGTATATAAAGAATACAAAAGTGCACATAGCATTTAAAAAGTATAAAAGTGTACATTGCATATAAACTGTATATATAACTGAATGCATAGTTTCACAATTTTTTTTTTTAAATAGTATGCAATATCCAATATATACCATGCAGTATTCAGTAGGCTAGTATTTCATTCCCAAACAGACTTATGGTGTGTGCACACAAAACGTGAATTTAATTATTTGCACGAACAGATTACATACAAAATCAATGCAAAGACTCAAATAGACGCAAATTCGCATTGAGCAATGTGAATGATGCGAATTGTGACACGATTGCCGCAAACGTGCGATATTGACCTCAATCGCGTCTTCCACACAACTTGAAAAATTTCAACTTGAGCGGGAAATTCACATGATGCATTGTCGTGCAAGCCAATCAGCGAAGAGCTTATTGACACGTCCGGTTTGACACTTCCACAACAGGTACAGCAGCAATAGTAACTATCTCCAACATGGTTGATGACAGAAAAAACGGCAGAAAGAAATGTTGTTGTTGTTGTACTTGTTGATGTGCGTGAAGACACTCCTCATTGCAATGTTTTTATTCGCGCAAGTGACATGAAAAACATCCCGCGAGTAATCTATCATGTGACACTGAAGACTGGAGTAATGATGCTGAAAATTCAGCTTTGTCATCACAGGAATAAATTAGATTTTAAAAAATATTAACATAGAGAACAGTTCTTTTAAATTGTAATAATATTTCACAATATTAATGATTTATTTATTGTATTTTTGACCAAATAAATGCAGCCTTGGTGAGCATAAGAGACTTCTTTCAAAAATATTCTAAAAAAATTATTCCAAACTTATTTATTTTAATTTTACAAAATTATTCCGGTCAAACTTTGACCGGTAGTATTCATTTTTAAGGATCTTTATTTTTCCCATTTGGGTCCTTTAGGCTCAAGAAATTCCTTTGGCAATCCTGAACACGTCCTTTAGGATTCCTCTCCAAACCTTCAACCATCTGCACACACACAGAGCCCTCGTTTGTAAAGTGAAGCTCACGCTGTATCCGGCTCTGGCGCTCAGGTGCTCTGCAGCCACCAGCAGGGCATTCAGTGTGGCCCCACCGCTGCCCAGCCGGGCGTGAGGGTCAGGAACGGTCAGCAGCAGGGCATCCGCTGGGAGAACACCACGCTTCTGACGCACCTCCAGCTCTGAAACACACACAAACCTCCATGAGATTTACCTGAACCTGGTCTGGAGATCTGTTAATGTAAGGTAGACCCTTATACAATTAAGTACTGTGGTGGTTCCATGGAACTTTGATGGCATCAGATGGAAATATTATGGTTCTTTGGTATATACAATGGCACCTAAATTCATGTACCCTTGACACTTAATCCAAGATACTTTCAAGAGGGTAGAACCACGATACAATGTCCAAAACAACGAGAAGGGTCTGGCTGCAACCTTGCACTTGCATTCTCAGACTTGCACTCTCAGACACTTGCGCTTCCGCTAGTGACGTCCCTTGCAGTCTTTTTTTATTTTGTTCTATTTATGGATTACTTGTTGTTTGAATCTCTCAACATTTTACAACAGTAGCCAGGTGGTGAAGACAAGAAAAAAGAAACTAAATTACGAAGTCACTTGCAATCGCCACTTGCACTCTCCGATACCTGCGACATCACTTGCAATCGACACAAATCGTGCGTGTTGCCAATGGAGACAAGACGCTGTGGTGGTGATTAAATGATTAAAACTAATTTTATACTATAACATACAGGGTCCTGCAAGAAAAAGACAA